ATTCCACTTCCAATCCAGCTCCCTCCTAAAGCACTTGGGAAAGAGACTCAGATAGAGTTCCAGGCTTCTTGCTCCAGCCTGCCCCAGCCCCAGGCATCATGGCTCTGTTGGGGGGAATAAAGCAACAGATGGCAGACATCTTCCTTGCCCTCACTTTCATTGTAACTCTGCCCTTAAAATGATTTTTGTTTAAGGGTGGGGCATAGCACTCTGGGGTGTATTGCACGGGGCATCCCTTTGTAACCTCCTGTGATTTAATCCATGACTGCTGAGTCCCACTCTGCAATACCTGGGGTATACGGTGGTTCAAAGAACAAAGTGGAAGGCAAGCCAGGTCTGGATCTTGACCTGGATAAGCAGACAGCACGCAGGTGAACAATCACAGTGGTAAGTGCAGTGAAGGGAGAGATTGGGTGTCTGACTCCTTCTCCTCCGGTCAGAAGGAGGATCTTTGTGGTCTCTGAGGAGATGATGTTTGCCCTGAATTGCAGCCTCCTCCCATGGTGCCAGCATTCTGTAGGGGCGCCAATTCAAGTCCCAGTTGCTCCCCTTCTGATCTGGCTCCCTGCCTGTCTAAGGCCTAGGAAGGCAGCAGAGGTTGGCCCCAAAGCCTTAGGCCCCTGCACCCACGTGGGAGACCCAGAAGAAACAACTGGAGCACAGCAAAGAAGCAACCAACTCAGACAGCCCAGGCATGCCTTATTCGTTCTTCCCATGAGGAGTTGGGGTGAACATGGGTTATGCATCCACTAAGCACTGAAAAATATAAGGAGACTTCTTTTTTTTTTAAAATTAATTTTATTGCATTATGTGACACAATGTTAAAGGCACTGGGACTCCCCCCACCCCTCCCCGAACCCTCTCCCCATGGTGGACCTCTCCGCCTTGCTGTATCACCACAGTTCAAATTCAGTTGAGGTTCTTTCAATGGGAGTATTTACCAAGCATAAAGTCCAGCGTCTTATTATCCTAGTTTGTTCAACAATTTCTTGATGAGACCATCTCTGGTCTGAAGGTAAAGCCAGCTAAGTATCATCCCAATCAATTAGAAGCTCTGACATAACATCAACAACCATTTACAACCTTATGGCATTAATTGACTTGGTATTGATTAACAATATGTTAATAAGAAAATGCGGGTTCCTAACTACATCCTGTGACTTCTTCATAGACATTTCAATTTTTAGTTTGTATTCAACCGGATTCCATACACTATGAGGAGGCTTCTAAATGTTCATGGGAAATGCAATGAAAACAGAAGTTTCTCTGGGTGCTCAGAACTTTTAAAATCTGTGCTGAGTTGTTTTCATAAGTCCCAATTTTTTGGAGACTTTCTGAGGACCCCCATGATCATTACTCCTTCTGTGAACAGTGACTGAGTAGATCCCTGTTCTAGACACCAAGCCGGGGCCCCGCTGGTCTTTGGGCAGTATTGGAAGAAGGACCAACACCTGAACAGGCAGCCAGGAAGACCGTGGGAGTTGTGTTTTGATAGTGTGCATGTGTGGCTGTTGTGTTGCTCTGTGACCACTCAGTGGACTGCCTCACCTCAACGAAGGCTGTCCCCAGAGGAAATAGTGTCCACACCAAGACCAAAAGGATTGACCAGGGACAAGCCAGAAGCAATGATGCTGTGTGGGATTTTGTTAGAGAGCTACGCCATTATCTGGTGCCTTTCATTTGATAGCTGTTTGACTCCAGTTCTTCCGCAGTGGATAATGGAGTTTTAAAAATTTCTTGAAAACTCTGTTATAAAAAAAAACACAAACAAACCTGGGGTATGAATTGCAAATTTCTTTTGAAGCCATATAAACCTAACTTGTAATTCCAGGCTTCCGCTGACTTCTCAAAGTACCCAGGTATCTTTGGGTGTCTGTAAGTGAAGCAATACACGTGCCTTGGAGTATCTTTCAAGTAAAAACCAGCTCCCTTGGTGATAGTTTCACTAAACGGCCCCGTTATCATGACTGTCCAGTGCACCTGGGTAATGCAAGGACTTACAGAATTTCTGGCAGACGCTGAATGTATTGGGTCCAGCTTATCTCAAAGGACCAAGAGTGAGTGGTGGGCAGGCAGTGTGGTCTGAAGCAAGATGGACAACCTGTTTGTATCTCAGTGTCATTAAATTCATAATCAGCTTATCCTCAACCCAGTTTCTGCACTGCAAGTCGAGAATTATAGTGTGTCCATCTAGAATGCGTACGGCTTAAAAAAAAAGCCCTCTCTGTTTCTCCTTCTCTCTGTATATCTGATTTTCCAATAAAAATAAGTGAATCTTTTTTTGAAGCTCCTTATTTATACTCTCCTTCAAAAATAAGGCATGCAATAACTCCAGGAAACAAATATTCCTTTTTTTAAGGTAGATGTCTGTGGGAGGCTTGTGGTACCACTAGGCACCAGCAGGGGGAGTCAGCCCTCTAGGGGGCAGTTGGCATAGTGACCTGAGGTGGGGTGACATGACCTCAATGCACAAATGAACTGGTCTATGTGTAGATGAGGCAGGGGCAGGGAAATAGGGTGACAATCCCAGGGCTCTAGGATGACATTCCCCAACACTCATTCTAAGACTGTCCTCCACTCACATCTTCTAGGAGACTTCATTTCCTTAGAACTCTGAGTGTAAGAATGTGGATTAGTTGTCCACATTGTTCTGGAAGAGTGGAAGGCAGCACAGGTGTGTCCTGGGTCTCCAGCTGGAGAATCCAGCTCCTTCAAACTAGGGGCTACCTCGGCCAGGCCAGGAGCTGGGGAGGGGCTGTGCTGTGATTTACTCTGGGGGTCTTCTGGGAGGGACAAGTGGCAGGACAGCGTGGCTTGGGAAGACAGAGCTGCTGCACTGGTCTCTTTTCTTCCTCAACAGAAATTGGGTTGTATTTCTTGGAATTTTGGGAATTGTTTTTCAAAGATTTTATTTTCATTTGAAAGGTAGACTTACAGAAAGAGAGCTCTTCCATCTACTAGTTCACTCCCCAAATGGCCACAACACCTAGAGCTGAGCTGGTCCAAAGCCAGGAGACTGGAACCTCTTCCAGGTCTCCTAGGTGGGTACTGATACCTGAGGATATGGGCCGTCGTTCCACTACTTTCCCAGGTGCATTAGCAGGGGGCTAGATCAGAAGTGGAGCAGCTGGGACTAGAACCAGTGACATTGCAGGCAGAGGCAGTGTACGCTGACACCAGCCCCTCCCCTGCCCCTGAAGTGTCAAAGGAGTCATGGCAATTCTGGAAGGCATGCAACATTCTCCATTCCCTGTGCTCCATTTCACGCTGGCCTGCTCTTGCCTCTCGCCCTGTGTCTCTGGGTGCCTTGCAGGAACCAGCTGGGGAGAGACAGTTCAATCTCGGAGCTCACTCCATTGTGCAGAAAGCTTGGGCCAGCAGTTGTGGTTTAGGCAGAAAAGGAGGAAGGAAGTCCTTGGCTGCCACAAAGGTTCCATGAAAGCTCAGGGCTGTTTTTTTTGTTTGTTTGTTTTGTTTTGTTTTTTCCCTCCCAGGAGACGTCAGGGTCCTGGGGAGACCTGAAGGGAAATAGCCCTTGCTAGCTTTGGGGTGTGCTGTACGTGTCCTTGGAATCCTTCTGTTCAGATGTGTGATGACAAGATGCACCCATTTCACAGATGTGAGAACTGAGGTGCTGAGAGGACAATTGCAGAGCCAGGACTCACCCTCCAGAGCAGCCACGTGTGCTGCCTCTTTCTGGCTCAGAGTTGGCATGCCCCATGTCCCCAAATTCATAAGTGACAGAACTTTAACAGATCTCCAGACTTCACACGCCCAGAATTGCATTGAATACTTCCAGAGATGGCGAGTTCCCGCCTGGGGAGAAAAGTACAAGGAGGTGGGGCTTGGGTACAAGTGAGGCAAGGACAAGAACTTGGGCCTAGAGATGCAGGCTCCCGCTAACCTCCTGGTCAATATCTCAGCCGAGCCTGAAAATAAACAGAAATTCTTTGACTTGGCTTTGGGATTTAAAGGAACAGGCTCTTTCACTTTCCTTACATGTTCTGGGAAATACAGCACCAGATGGACTGGGCTGCTTTGTAACAGCTGTCCACTAATCCTGTCCCATCCTTGGCCAAGGCTTGCCAGGGGCACGGCCACGTTTGTGCCTCTTACAGATTTTGTTCAGGAGCCCACCAGTTGGGTTTTGGCAGCTTAGATCCCTGATGATGGAAACTGAGAACCCACCAGTGCTACCCAGCAAGCTGGGGTGACGGTAAAGGCTGCCTGGCAGCCTGATGACAGGGTGGCACTAAGACTGCTTGGGGCGTGGGTTTGGAGATTAGGCATCTGGGAGAAGAAACGTGCCTGTTCCTGTGGCGGAACACATTGGCCATGTGGGGCTTAACATTTTTCTCTGACTCCCTGGGAGTAAGGAGGGAAGGAGTTATGGGAATGGTGAAGGGGAGTGGATTTAAATGGACATACAAAAGGCTTGCCTCCCAGCATGGTGGAATTCAAATAATCTGAAACAGTGCTAGCCCAGGAGCTGGCATGAGCTACTGCCCGTGGGACAGAGCCGGGGCTGTTCCCCTTGGCATTGCTGTCATTGCAGAGGCATTAGGGAGAGAGAGAAGGGTGGCAGGGTGCGCCGTGTGGCAGGGCGCACTGTGAGCTAGGGAGCCAGCTTGTGGATGGTTTGCTTCCAGGAACCCCGTGGTAAACTCATTTCCCAGCTCTGAATTACAGCACATTGCATTTCATCCAGGTCAACACTCGTCTTTTCTTTGCTCAGGCAACTTTGGTTTTCCAAGTTGAGGAAATGTGCTTTTCTCATTTTCTCTTCTCCCAGAAGCATGCAACAGGGGAGGAAGAAGAGGCTGGGTGGTGGGTTCACTTTCTCTAGGGACAAGAATGGGGTTAGACAGGTGCAGGCCTAGGACACTGCGTTGGGCTGTGCTCCAGGCTTGCTCTTAGGCGTGTTTCTTGTGCCACCTGTTTGTGCTCATGCCATGTTGAGTGCCACCCCACTGAGCTCCTTGTTTTTCTATTTTCTGCAGAGATGTGTGTGCAGACCCAGGCCATGCAGATACTGGTGTGCCTAACGCCCTCAGCCCAGAGCCCCACACCTCTGAACTGCAGCACAAGAAGGCAGCATGGTCAGGAGGGGTTAAACTTCGGCTGAAGCACAGGTAAGAGAGGCTGCTGACACAGAGTAGGACAGAAGTGAGGTGGAGAGAGTCAAGTTGTAGGCTAGGGGGAAGGTGGGAGGGGCAGAGCAAGGAGGGCAGAGAAAAACCCAGTGTTCAAACAGTGAAGGATTTTTGTAAATTAATACATTTTCTTTATTAGCTAGATACCTCCAATCTGTTGGTTCACCTCCCAAATGCTCTCAGTAGCCAGGGCTGGGCCAGATCAAAGCTGGGACTCAATCTGGAGCTCCTGTATAGGTGACAGGGACTAAAGTACATGAGCTGTCACTTGCTGTCTCCCAGGATGTTTTAATAAGAAGCTGGACCGGAAGCAGAGCATGGACTTGCACTGAACACTCTGATATGGAATATGGATGTCATACTCACTATACCAAACACCCACACCAGGATGAAGATCTTAATAGCAGTTTCCTAAATAGCAGAATTCTATAGTTCCTAGAAGATCTCTCAAATCACGTGGTTCAAATACCATCATAAAAACACCAAGGTACTGGGGCTGGTGCCATGTGACAACAAAGCTGAGCCTCCATCTGTGGTCCTGGCATCCCATACAGGCACGGGTTCCTAGCCTGTCTGCCCCACCTGCTGGTAACCTGGCATAGCAGCTGAAGATGGTCTAAGTCCTTGGGCCAGTGGGCCTACATGGGGAATCTGGAGGAGGCTCCTGGATTCTGGCTTCAGATCGACCTAGCTCCATTTGGAGACTGGACCAAATATGCAGATGGAAGAGCTTGCACACCCTCTGTCTCTCCCTCTCTCCCTCTAGCTGCCTTTCAGATAAAAGTCAGTAAATCCATATATAAAAAACCTGGATACTGAAAGTATGTGAAAAGATGGAATTAAAAAATAATTTTAATACAAAAATTTTTGAAAAATTTTTAAAAGATTTATTTGTTTTTATTGGAAAGTCAGAATTGCAGAAAGGAAGAGAGAGAGAGGAAGATCTTCAGTCCAGTGATTCACTCCTCAAGTGGAACTGAGCCGATGTGAAGCCAGGAGCTTCTTCCCCTCTCCCACACGGGTGCAGGGTCCCAAGGCTTTGGGCTGTCCTCGACTGCTTTCCCATACCACAAGCAGGAGGAAGCTGGATGGAAAGTGGAGTAGCCATGACACAAACCAGTGCCCACAGGGGATCCCAGCGTGTGCAAGGCAAGGATTTAACCACTGGGTTACTCCGTGTGGCCCCGATATTTGAAATTCACGCATAGTTCTTTTTCATTGCAGGCCTTTCCCATAAACTTTTTTGAAGATCACTCATATGCATGAATATCAAAATCTTTGTGCCAAAATCAACAGTTTAATTCCATTTTGCACAAACTTTTTGAAGCATAACATTTGTTCATGTTGATGCTCAGGGACTTTTTGTTTTCTTTGTCTGTCTGTTTTGACTTACTTATTTTTATTGGAAAGGCAGATTTACAGAGAAAAAGATCTTTTACCTACTGGTTTGCTCCTCAAGTAGCTGTGATGGCCACAGCTGAGCCAATCTGAAGCCAGGGCCCAGAGCTTCTGGGTCTCCTACATGGGTGCAAGGTTCCAAGGCTTTGGGCTATCCTCCACTGTTTTCTCAGACCACAAACAGGGAGCTGGATGGGACATGGAGCAGCCAGGACACACACCGGCACCCATATGAGATCCCAGTGCTTACAGAGGGAAGATGAGCCAACTGAGCCGAAGAACTGGAACCGATGCTTAGCGTTTTTAACTTACAGGGGTTTTTTTTGTTTTGTTTTGTTTTTAAGATTTAGTTACTTTATTTATTTATTTATTGAAAGGCAGAGTTAGGGGGAGAGATGGAAATCCTTAGCTGGCTCACTCCTCAAACAGCCACAACAGTCAGGGTTGGGCCAGTTCAAAACCAGGAATCAGGGCCTTCTTCTACCCTGGTGAGTGCAGGGTCCAAGAACTTGGGTCAACTTCTACTGTTCTCCCAGGGGCCACGTTAAACATGTTAAGCTGTGCAGTGAGCGCAAGTCATCTTTCAACTGATCATCCCTGAAACTTCTCATGTCTTTTTTTTTTTTAACTTATTTTTTGAAATATTTTTGAGCTAGCCTATTTTGAATTTACATTACGGTCAAGGCTTTATGCAAGGAATGTTCTAAGGTTGCAGTGAGAATGTGGCCAAGATGAGCAACTCTATGCTGTGCCAGTGAGCGAGCCGGAGAGCTTTCTGAGCAGTAGGTGATGTCCTGGCCATTTAGTGAAACATTCACACTGCAGGGCTGGTGTTTGGCACGGCGGTTAGGTTGCTCCTTGGGATACTTCATCGCCTACCCGAGTCCTGGGTTTGATGCCTGGCGTGGTACCAGTTCCTGTTTCCTGCTGATGCACAGTGATGGGCGACGTAGCCGAGCTGTTGTCACCTATATGGAAGACTCCTATTATAAGCCGGATTCCCAGCTTTAGCTCAGCCCATTCTCTACCCTTGCAGGCAATCTCTCCCTACCTCTCTAACTGTCAAGACAAAATAATAAGCAGTATCAGTACATATTCCAACTCTGTGAGGCTGGAATTCACGGGAGCCGGCAGTCTGAGCGAGCTCTCAGCCCTTGTTCTCGGTTGCCTCAGCATCAGCATGCCCCTGCTCACAGTGCCTTGTGCTCTCCAGAACACTTCAGATGCAGCTCTCTCCCAGGGAAAGAGAGATGAAGCTCAGGTGCTGGCTTAAGTCTGTGGTAGTTCTCATTAACATCATCCTCTTCCCGATTAGCACAGACATCGGGTGCTGGCTTAAGTACAGAGAATATGGTGGGTCCGTGCAGTCAGGGGCCCTAAAACTCAGACTGCCATTATTCTCCTTACTTGTAATGATAACTATTTACAGTTTGTCTGCTTCCAATGTGTAATGTAGGTTTATCAACTGATCTACCTCCTGCAGTTGCTAAAAGGATTTAAAGAGCTAATCACATAAAACACTTGGGGCTCTGCCCAACCGTGAATGGGTTCAAGGAATAGGTTATTCCTGTTATTAGTTATCCTGATTATGGGGTCGGCACTGTGGTGCACTGGATTAAGCTGCCACCTGCAATGTGTGCATTCTCATATCTGAGCAGTGATTGGAGTGCCAGCTGCTCTGTCTCTTATCCAGCTCGCTGTTGATGCACCTGGAAAAGCAGCAGCAGATGGCCCAAGTGCTTGGGCCCCTGACACCTCTGTGGGAGACCTGATGGAGTTCCAGACTCCTGGCTTCATCTGAGCCTCGCCTCAACTACTGTGGCCATGTGGGGAGTGAACCAAAGGATGAAACACATCTCTTTTTCTCTCTTAACTCTGCCTTTCAAATAAATAAATAAATAAATACATCATTTTGAGAATTATCGTGATTTTAGTTTGGGGGTGCTTTCCTATAGCTATGTCTACTTTCATGATCAATATTAACAGTATAAATTTGGATTTGTACTATCCCAAATTTGCATTATCATGTTTCTAGATATGCAAATATGCATGAAGGAATTTGTTGTGTCCTACATAGTAAAACAACTCTGGTTATCTACACAACGTTCTTGGTAAGACTGCGTTTCAACATATGAGTAAAATAAAGTGGGAATGGGCCAGAGGTCCAGAGGAGCCCACTGTCAGGGATGAAGGCCGCGTCCTAGTTTTGGGATGTGTGGAGAGAACGGAGCGGCAGGGTCAGCCCCAGGGGCAGCCTGAAGAAGCAGGAGCTCTGAGGATGTCAGACCCTTCTCCTGCAAGGAGTCCTTGGGGCTTCGTGGTGAGTCACTCTAGTGTCCTGGTAAAGCCGACAGAAGCTGAAAGTCATGCTGACAAAGTTACTGCTCTAGCCTTTGAGGCGCTCGGTCAAGGCCTGGCCCAGCTTGTGGTGGCAGCACACAGATAAGACAGATCTGACATCAGCTTAAGAGGCACAGCCTGCAGCCAGTGAGGGTGGGAGAAAGAAGGAAAAACTGAGGGAGCGACTACTGGGGGGCACCTGGGGTTGGGGCAGGGCCGTTAGCCAGGATGGGCAAGGCAAGAAGATGAGGATGCAGAGCCTGAGCACTAGGCCTGGATTTGACCTTGGGACAACTGAACCCCCTCATACAGCAATCCCTAAAAGCTGAGGACAGCCAATGGACTTCAGTGTATTATTTGGTCTAACCACAAAGATGGGGTTCTTTTAAAAAGCCAATGTCCTCATCAACACATTTGCGTGTGACCAATATAGCTCAATGACTATGGAGGCTAGATGTGAGGAAGCAGGTGGATGGGCAATTTCTTTTTTTTCTTTTTTCCTGTAAAGGTTTATTCATTTATTTGCAAGGTAGAGATACAGAGAGAGGAAGAGATCTTCCATCTGTTACCTCACTTCCCAAATGGTTGTAGTGGTCAGTTGGGCCAGTCCAAGACCAGGTGCCAGGAGCTTCTCTCAGTTCTCCCCTGTGGATGCAGGGACCCTAGAACTTGGGCCATCTTTCACCAGTTACCCAAGCATATGAGCAGGGAGCTGGATTGGAAGTCAAGCGGTTAGGATGCAAATCTGTGCCTTTATGGCACTCACCATAATAGTTGCCTCTTAAGAATGTCACAGGATGCAGGTTGTATATGGCACTCTTGCTCAGGATCCTGCTGGCTGGGATTTTTACTTGTTTTATACAGTGAACATGTTATGTCCATATGTCTTGATTCCACAGCTATGCCAGCCCAGCATGAAGTTTCACTCCATATCACTTCTCTGTTCCCCAAAGCCTTTCCATGCCTCAAATTGTTACCTTGGCAACCCTGAATTTGGAAACTGGATGGGTCTCATAAAGTTAGAGTCAAGTCCTATTTGAATTTTTTTTTTTTTGTAAACTTTTTATTTGGCAATCTTTTTAGATTCCTAGAAAAGTTATAAAAAATAACACAATAGTGCTTTCTCATACAGCTGTCCCACAGCTTTCCCTAATGCTGACAAGTTTTATAACCACAGTACAAATACCAAACAAAGAAACAGCATTGGCAGCTGGGACTGTTGCAGACTTTGTAAACAATAG